CCTTCCTTCCTTCCTTCCTTCCTTCCTTCCTTCCTTCCTTCCTTCCTCCCCATTCCTTTTTCTTTTCCTTCCTTCTTCTTTTCCTTCCTTCCTTCCCCCTTCTGCTTTTCTTCCCTCCCTTCTTTTCCTTCCTTCCTCCCCATTCCTTTTTTTCTTCCTTCCTTCTTCTTTTCCTTCCTTCCTTCCCCCTTCTGCTTTTTCTCCCTCCCTTCTTTTCCTTCCTTCCTTCCTCCTTCCCTCCCCCTTCCTTCCTTTTTCCTTCCTTCTTCCCGCCTTCCCCCTTCCTTCCTTCCTTCCTTTTGCTTTTCATCCCTCCCTCCCTTCTTTTTCTTCCTGCTTTCCTTTCTTCTGCTTTTCCTTTTCTTCCTTCCTTCCCCCATCTCTTTCTCTCTCTCCCTTCCTTTCTTTACAAACAAAACTGCTCCTTGACAGCAAAAAACAGCGGAGGAGATTTCCCTCCTTTCCATTCATATCTAATTTAAAAGCTGCAATGGAAAGGACTCCAAAACAGACAAAACACACAGAGGGGGGAAATATAATAACTGGCTGCAAAAAAAACCCTCTTTTCCCTTCTGCAGCCCTTCATCAGCTTGCTGGCAGCTCAGAAAAGAATCCCCCCAGCCAGCTCCTCTCCAGCACCCTCCACCCGCATCCTGGACTCCAGAACCCATTATCCCAGCCCCGTCAGCCTGGGAGGATGGGATCTGCAGCCCCCTGTGCCCAAGAGGCACCGAGGGGTGTAGGAAGTTGCAAGAGGGGCTGGGGGAGAGTGTCATTTGCGTCCTTTTTAATCATCTCTTTCTCCCCCAGAAGAAGGAGTGGGGAAGTGAGCAGGCTAAAAGCAACCAAACCTTCGTGTTGATTGACCGCCCACCTTCTACTTCTGCCCATTGGATGCCCAGGCCTTTCTCAGGTGCCAGAGTGGCTAATTTAGCTGTCAATGATTCCCCACTCCTCCTCTTCTCCCTCCTCCCCCTCCTCCTCTTTTTCCAAGCTTGGTGGGCTTGGAAAGCCCATGTTTATGGCTACCGGGCGGGTTTCCCCCTCCAGCGGCGGGGAGGGGGGGGGTGGGCGTCTATATTTAGAGTTTTGGTCAGCTTCTCAACCTCATGACTTTTGAGGAGGGGGATGCCAAGGCTATCCCGGGCTTAAGCAGGGGAGAAGCAAGGGAAGAGGGGAGGGGGCTTGCTCTGCTCTCCCCCTTAGAGACAACGTGCCACCATGCCAGCCGTTTCCAACCGAGCCAGGGCCCGGGAGAGGAACAATGTCTTGTACCGGACCGAATTCCTCTCCCTCAACCAGCCCTTGAAAAGTACCCAGGAGCCTCGGAGCCTTCTCCGGAGGGCGAACAGCCAAGGGGGCCCTGCCCCATCCCAGAGCGAGGGCTCCAAGGAGCAGCGCCCGTCTCAGCAGCTGCCGGAAGAAGACTGCATGCAGCTGAACCCCACTTTCAAAGGCATCGCCTACAATTCCTTGCTGGCCATAGACATCTCCCTCTCCAAGCGGCTGGGGGTCTGTGCCAGCAACTCGGCAGCCTGGGGCAATGCCCGCTCCATGGTCAACCTCATTGGCATCACCGGGCACGGTATTCCTTGGATCGCAGGCACCCTCATCTGTTTGGTCAAAAGCAGCACCTTGGCTGGCCAGGAGGTTCTCCTCAACCTCCTCTTGGGTGAGTTCAAAGTTCTCTTTCCTGGGCCTTCCCTCCTTTTTTTCCTTCAAACACCCCGGATTCTGTAATTCTCCCTGTTTTCCTATTTATTCTACTCAATTAATCCTATAGGAAGAAACTCCACAATTCTCCCTGTTTTCCTATTTATTCTACTCAATTAATCCCATATAAGTGAAATTCCATAATTCTTGTTGTTTTGCTGTTCTATTCCATTAATCCTATTGGATGGAATCCCACAATTCTCACTGTTTTTCCATTTATCCAACTCAATCCTACTACAGGACGAAATTCCACCATCTTGTTGTTTTTTCCTATTTAACTGAACATAATTAACGCTATGAAATGAGATTCGATCATCTTGTTTTCCTGTTTCTCCTACACAATCAATCCTATACAAAAGTCTCATTGTCCTCCCTGCTTTCCTGTTTTCTTACTCCTTTATTTTCCTCATCTTAACCCCAGGCTGCATTGTTATTTTAAAACTCAGTCTTTCCTCTGTGAAATGGGTGTACTAATCAAAGCTGGAAGTACTCCAGCAGCAGAGATCCCTGGCAAAGCCAGAAACAAGCAAAGATTCATACTGTAGTTCAATTCTGCCAGGATCAACAGATTCTCAGGGAATACCATTTGATGTTTGTGGAAAAAATTTCGCCTTCATCTTCCCACAATCCTGTGTCTTCCAAATAAATTCATCCTAGGCCCAGCTGTCAAAACTGGAAGCAAACTTCCAAGCCAGGTGGGAAAGCACTGGTTTAAATAAGAGTTCACGGCCCCAACATGCTGAAAATTCATTTTATTTAAGGAAAAGTTGGCACTTGATTGGGATATGTCTGTAGAACTTCCCTTTTCAGGGACACTATATCAGGAAATTAATTTCTCAAAGAAAATTATCTCCAAACCAAAAAAAAAAAAAAAAGGAGAAAGTTCACTTGTCTGGAGATAAATTTCTCAGAACGTCAATTCTTCCAGGTAAGACAAATCAGGCCTGAGAATTGAGATTTTCTCCAGACTATTCCAGAAGGGAAGATTTTAAAACATACCTCTATGATTCAATCAACCTGATGAGGCCCTTGGAGAAATTATTATTATTATTATTTTATTTATTTATTTATTTGATTTGTATCCGCCTTTATTGTTTTTACAAATAATTCCAGCAGCCTGATATAGCCTTCCTCCTCATATTTTCTCCCACAACAACAACCCCTGTGAGGTAGGTTGGCCCGAGAGAAAGCATCATCTGACTTTCATGCCTAAAATGGGACCAGAACTCACCGTTTCCTGGTGATTGGCCCAAAGTCACCCAGCCGCCTTTCATGATAAACGCAGGACTATAACTCCCAGTCTCCCGGTGATTGTCATCCACTGGTTTTTGTGCCTAAGACAGACTAGAACTCCCCATCTCCTGGTTTCTAGACTTGGTGCCTTAACCCCTTGATCAAACTGCCTCTCTATTATCTTCCAAGTCTCCATATTTTCTCCTTTAAGACCCTGAGGATGAAGAAATGGATAATATTTTGGTGGGGGGAAAGGTTTTGAAAACACCCAGGGGAGAGAGAGCACTCTGTTCTTGTGAGTTGCCTCTCTAATCTAAACCGACAACAGGGTCAGAAAGATGGGGAAGAGGGAAAGAAAGGCAGTGCATATTCAAGATGTTTCTTGAAGACAATCCAAGGCCTCCAAGGATGTGGAGAGAGCTTTTTGTTGCAAGATTGGAGGCCAGGTTGCTCAAAAAATAAATATTCTTCCATAGCTCGTCGACCTCGCCTATGAATATTTCAGGATCATGCAGCCTGCTCTGCAACAAATCAGATCTCTCTTTCTCTCTCTCTTTGAGCAACGTGTAAGTAGGCCTTTGACTCACCCTTCCTATCTTAAAAAAAGATAAGAGAAAAATTCATGAAGGTTAGAGATTGCAACAATTTTTGCATGGGGCAACTCAACCGTTTCTAGCTAAACACAATGTTTAAGTTGACAATTTCCCCCTATCAGATGTGTGATGCGGTGCACATCTCACTTTAAAATGAACGGAACGTTTCCTGTTTTGCAAAGAATTCTGCTTTGGTTCCATTTGTATTTTTAACAGCCTTTTGAGAAAAAAAAAACACAGGCTGTTTTTATATAATAACTGTCACAAAATTATCTATGCAGAAGGATGGAACGATTTGGCAATCCTTACAATGGAAGAGGACCAAACTTGCTGAAACTGCTAAATGGACTGGTCTGATGACAGAAGCAGCATGTCTACATTTATCAGTAACTGGGAAGTCCTTTATACCTTTTGGGCAAAGAAAAAAGAAAAACAAATGAACTTGTGATTTATGATTTAGATGACTGAGAGTTCAGGTGCAACCTGAGAGAAGAAGTTAAAATAGCCTTCTACTTATAATTGCTCAGAAGAAAATGAGAAGACACTTCATTCTATCTTTTTTTTTAATGCCTTCTCTTTTCTACTTTTCTTATCCTTTTTTTGTAGTTTTAGCTTCTTTTTTTGACGTCTTCCTTTCTATTTCTTCTTTTTCGTTGCACTTTGGTTCGTACTAGTTCTTACTATTGTTGAAACCTTCAGAATGATAGAAAGGGATTCTGTGGATACAGGCAAGATTGATAGACATAAATTGGTAGAAGTAAGAAGGTAGATGATAGGCAGATAAATGATGGATGGATGGATGGATGATAGGTGGGTGGTTAGAAAGAAAGAAAAAGACAGATACTGACAGATAGATGGATGGATGGATGGATGGATGGGTGGATGGATGGATAGATGGATAGATGGAGATTAGAGAAAGTGATCAGAGGGATGGATGAATGGATAGAGATTAGAGAAAAAATATATATTAGGAAAAAAATAGATGAATGCATATTAGAGAGAGAGAGGGAGATTACAGAGAGAGAGATGGATGGATGGATGGTAGAGATTCGATAGGGATTATAGATAGCTCACTTGTTAAAACATCCATCTGAAGACATACATGCACAAACACCTGAAGGTTGCCAAATAAATACTAAATAAAGAAGCAAACAAACAACTTTGTGAATTTCCCAAGAGTTCTGTTTGGGCTACCTCCTTCTTCGAGGGCTATGATGTCTCAAATGTGATGCAAAGGGAACTGCGGAGGCTATTCTGGGCTCCCAGTAATTTCCAAATTGGATCTGAGCTGAGAAGGCTCTGCAGGAAACCAACTTATTTGCAACATGATCTTTTGTTGGCACATGTTTGTCTGGATGAATGTTCCTGAAATCTGGGCAGAAGCCACACTAAAGTATCTAGTTCAGAAATACAAACTGTGTTGTTATTTTCCCCCCAAGGACATGGCATTTTAGAAGAAGGGAGAATCCCTGGCTAGATTGTGGCGTAACTCACAACTCCACTTTGGACGAGAGAGATTGATGCTTTCTCTTTGAATTACCCAGAATAATATTTTCTGCAGAATGTATTCATAAATCAGCTTTCTTCTTCTATTGCTTTGCCTCCCTGACTTTTTGTGGCAGTATGGTCTTTTTTTAAAGGCACCGGATTAGAAACTAGGAAATGATGAGTTCTAGTCCTGATTTAGGCATGAAAGCCAGCTGGGTGACTTTGGGCCAAACACTAGGAGACTGTGAGTTCTAGCCATGTCTTAGATGTGAACACTGGCTGGGTGACTTGGAGCAAATTCCCTCGTTGCATTAGGACAAACAAATGTTTTATTTATTTAATTAAGAAATTTATATTTATAAAATTGTATATAATTATTAACGTGC